ACTTTGGCTATTCGGTCATTCGGAAGTACCCGAATTGCCCGAAATTCGTCCGAATTCATATTCGGCCCGAAATGAATTGCACATGTCTAGTTCCCATGGTGTTTTTCAACTTGGTAATTATATGTGGTTCCCTGTTAACTCGAAACACATACACTGATCAGCCATAACATTAAAACCACATGTCTAAAATCGTATAGTTGCCCTCGTGCTGCCAAAACAGCTTTGATGTATTGAGGCATGGACTCCACAAGCCCTCTGGATGAGTCCAGTGTTATCTTGCATCAAAACATTAGCTGCAGGTACTTTAGATCCTGCGAGGTGGGGCGTCCATGGATCAGATTTGTTGTTCCAGCACGTCCCACAAATGCTCAATCGGCTTGAGATCTGAGGGATTTGGGAGGCCACACTAGTCCTATTCATCCACCCAATCACACAACAAGCTTCACATATATGATCTTCACCATAGGGGAAGGGATTGTGATGTCCGTTATATTGGGTCACAAGTATGAAGTATGACATATCTACGGAATGGAAAAATAATAACAAATTTTAAGATGCAACTATTATTTCGATGGCAAGTACAAAAGAGAAGATAGAACCAAATGTTTCTATTTGGATTGATGTTGGTCTGGAACACAATGGGGTGGTCACTTATGGTCTCTATAGATATGCCTTAACTCCACTTCTAGACAAGGTGTGGTAATCCACAGGGTGTATATCCAGTGGTACTGAAATGTCTTTGTACTAGCTTGGGGCCAAAATCTAATTTTGAGTAAGTTATCATATTCCTTGCCGGAGACCTCCTGGGCAGAAGTTTTACTTTGAAAACCTAAGTGAGTAAGTGTTCAGGACTTCTGTTATGTTATCCATTTTGTTTTTATCTAATGTTGAAGTAAATAATTTTGGTTGTCATCTATATTTTAGTATGCACTGTGACAATTTTTTGCTCATAATAAATATTCCTTTATTAAGTTCTGCCTTTGTCTGGTAAAGAATCACGTTTGTCTCTAAAAAAAAAACCCTAAAACTAAAAGTAAAACTAAGAATCTTGGAGACTACCTCTGGAAGAGATAGTAAATCTGACATGAAAAAAAGTGAGGCTGGAGACACTCAATAAACGGCCAGCTGGTGTGTTGAATTGTCTGAAAAAATCTAAGGGATCCCTTGAGACAATGTACTTAGTACATAAAGGGACACTATAGTCACCAGAACAACTACAGCTTACTGAATTTGTTCTGGTGAGTAAAATCATTATCTTCAGGCTTTTTGCTGTGAACACTGTCTTTTCAGAGAAAATGCATTGTTTACATTACAGCCTAGTGATAACTTCACTGACCACTCCTAAGATGTCTGTAAGAGATCCTCCCTGGGTCATGGCTGCCTAAAATGCATTCAAACATTCAGTGTCTCCTCCCTCTGCATGCAGACACTGAACTTTTCTCATAGATATTAATTGATTCAATTCATCTCTATGAGGAGATGCTGATTGGCCAGGGCTGTGTCTGACTTGTGCTGGCTCTGTCCCTGATCTGCCTCCTTGTCAGTCTCAGCCAATCCTATGGAGAAGCACTGTGATTGGATTAGGCTACCACTTCTAATGATGTCAGCAGACTGCTTGCTGGTCTGAGGCAGACAGGGCAGAACCAGCAGCTTCAGGCTTGAATACGTGTAAGATTTTGCTATATTTAGGGAGGCATGAGGGGCCCAGGGTGGCTAGATGGTGGTTTTAATACTATAGGGTCAGGAATAGATGTTTTTGTTCCTGACCCTATAGTGTTCCTTTAAGCGCAACTGTAAATGTCCTCCTAAAAGTAGGAACCAGCAGAACAGTTCCGATGACTCTCATGACACTCAGCTTCCACCACCACAGCCCCAATAGGAAATTGACAACCCAGTGTCCCTACACACTTTAACTATTCCCGACATAGCTGGACCCTTTTACACTGTTAATGTTACATTACCAAGTGATAGAATAGTCCCATTTCTGCTAGACACAGGGGTAGTCCGTGAAATACATTTTTACCTATGAAAAATCAAATGATGTCCTGTCATGTGTAGGTGTACACCCAGCAGATATCTCCCTCACCCACGAGATGAAGCTCCGTGACTCTACCTCTCTTTACCAGATTGCTTGTCAGCCCTAATGCCCCTGTCAATTTGCTAGGCAGTGATATTCTGTCTGCTATTAATGCCAACATTCAGTTCAATCCATCATTGTCCCTGCCCCTAGAGGACTATTGCTTGATACCCACTTGCCAATGTCCTAGCAACTCTTACTTTGCCAACCACCGTGACTAAACCTACTGTTGACCTGACCTCAGTCCCTGACTTCTTATGGGCCACAGGGAAGACAGACACAGGCAGACTTTCTGTGCCCCCAGTCAAAGTGAATCTCCTACCAGGAGCTACCCCTCCCTGTCAGAAACCATATCCCCTTAGTCCAGCACAAGATAGAAACATACATAGAAACATAGAATGTGACGGCAGATAAGAACCATTCGGCTCATCTACTCTGCCCAATTTTCTAAATACTTTCATTAGTCCCTGGCCTTATCTTATAGTTAGGATAGCCTTATGCCTATCCCAAACATGCTTAAACTCCTTTACTTTGTTAACCTCTACCACTTCAGCTAGAAGGCTATTCCATGCATCCACTACCCTCTCAGTAAAGTAATACTTCCTAATATTATTTTTAAACCTTTGTCCCTCTAATTTAAGATGTCCTCTTGTTTTGGTAGTTTTTCTTCTTTTAAATATAGTCTCCTCCTTTACCATGTTAATTCCCTTTATGTATTTAAATGTTTCTATCATATCCCATGATGCCATTTCACAGTCTATACATGAATTATTACAGACAGGTGTAATTGTTGCCACCACCTCCACTTGTTATCCCCCCCTCCCCCCCACCCCGCAACCCATTAAGAAGAAACAGGAGAAAGGAAAACCTGTGGTTTATCATATGGTACATGATTTAATGGTGATTAATGCCATGGCCAAACTAATTGCCCCCAATGTTCCCAACCCTCATACACTGTTGTCACAGATTCCACCTTCCTCTAAGGTGTTGACTGTCATTGACCAGGCAAACCAGACCATGTTGAATGTTAAATGGTCATAGCAGAAGGTCTTTAAGATGTGGAAGGTTGTAGAAGAGGGGGAGGCGGGAAAGCTGCCAGAGTTGCCGAGTAATGGAGCAGTACTGGGGTATTCCGTGTTTACACAAGACACTGTACAGACGTGGTGACTGATGCTGGGTAGATATAGCCTTTCGGCTTGCTCCCCCTGACGTACAATGAAGATTTCCAACAAGGGATGAACCCTAATGCTTTTCGGGATATTAACAGGGATCCACTGCCCAGACTCCACCACTTTGGATCAACCTCTAGATTAAAGACGTTAGCGGACTTACTGTTACCCCCTCACCCCTGCAGACCTTTAGGTTAACTAAAAATCTACAGGAATACATTCCCTAAAGGACAGGCCCTCACACACAAGCCCAATGTATTTGAAAGAATATGCATGGACTTCTTAACCCCATGGGGTATCATTCCTACATTCTATGCTACAGATTCAAAACCCTACTAAGAAACAGAAATTCATGGGCAAGCTGGGAGACCATACTGAACTTCACATTTAGCAATAGGGACTGGGAAAAGATCTGGTACATGACCCACCACTGCTCAGTCTTTAGCAAGACTCAAGAGACAGCTTACAATCTAATGTCCAACTGGTACCGCATGCTGGCGATCCTGCGGACTATGTACCAGGATCATTCAGACCGCTGCTGGAAATGTGGTGAGGAGGTTGTTACTCTTATCCACATCTGGGAGTGCAGGCAAATTAAACCTTTAGGTCTCGGAGGGGGATTCAGGAAATGGTGGAGTTGTTGTCAAACAAATTATTCCCCAATTCTGGAAGCAACCAGTTACTCCTCCACTGAGCTTGTGGTTCTCCCAGATGAAGGATCTCAGGGTGGTGGAGGAATTACACATGACTGCTGCTAGAGCCTCACATTCTTATCTGGGGATCTGGTCACACTGGCTACTAACCACATCCAACGCGGACTTCACCCCCTGACTACAACAAAGAACAGACTCCTTTTCCCATTACCCCCTCCTTTTTTCTTTTCTTCCCTTCCCTGTCACCCACCCTGAGTTATCCCTCTCTTCATAATCTGAAAGATTTTCACATGATCACTAGCTGCCCAACTGTAAGGGCTTTTCCCTGTGCCTCCCCCCCCCCCTTTTTGTTTTTGATTATGTTACATATATCTGGTTATTACAGTACTCATACTCTCTGCTACCCCTACATAGGAGGATGACTGAAATAGCCTGTAGGTTTCATTATTCCTACTTTCCTTTTTCCTGCTACATAATACGGGATCTGCTAGTCTCTCTTGTACATTATGTTCCTGCTGCTTGGGACTTTTGAGTCATCTGATACGTATGCTCTCACGTTCATTTACAATATTTGTTCTCAGTTATCATTTATGCTCGACATAATTATTGGGAACCTGTGCGTCCGATTTCCCATGTTTTCCTCATGTTTGCCTTATGACAAAAATTAAACTGAAAAATGTCAATAAAAATATATTTACAACAAAAGCCCAGACATTAATGAATAAACTTTTTTTTTTTTTTTAATTATACATTTATGCCCTTAATCGACTACTAACAGTCCACAGTTACTAACTGATAGCAGCAAACCTACTCTGTAACCGAGTGTACCCCTCGTTTGATGTTCCAGTTATGACTCTGGCAGAATTTGGAGGAGCTCGTGAGGTGCAAACTTGCGGCCTACCACAGGCCTACTCACTCAGCTGGAGGGAAGCGGCGATCCCTCTCCCCATTGCCTGACGCCTCACACAGAGTCTACTCTCTCTCCCCCCCCCCACCGGTGAGGGATATCCCGGTAACCATCACATGTGCCTTGGTGACAGCCTCTAAGCAGTAATCCACAGGTCATAGCCACTTTGCTCTCCACAAGATGGCGACCCCCAAATGGAAACCCCACAAATCCAGCATCCCTGTATCCTAGACAGGTTGGACAAATTGTTGGCAGACTTTTGGTCTAAACTCACCCACCGCCTGGAAACACCAGTGGCAGTCCCGATGGCAACTATCTGGCCTCAGCCCACTCAACGAAGCACACCTACAAAGCAACGCAGCGGTACCCACAAGGCAGCCCTTAAACGGACAGCAACTAAGCAACGCAAATTGAGGCAACATCGATACCACCTGCAGAAGCAAGCCAGGGACCGACGCTTTGTCCATATTTGCCATGGAATGCCAGGGACCTACCTGCACTGGACGCCAACACCACACCTGCTGAGAAGACCATCACACGCACTGCTGAGCCGCCTCTCACACTTACCGAAGGTGACTCGCGGACACGAGGAAGGGGGTCCTGACAACACCCGAGGCTGTTATGATGCGGCTCGGCACAGAGACACGGGAGATGACAAGACCCTGCTACACACGCCTGCACCCAGCTTGATCACCACGGGCATAGGCTGAGAGGACTGTTTTCACCTGGTCCGAGACTGTATCCCGGCTAATCACTTATATTTTGTTTTTCAGTTTATTATTGCTGCCTTGATAATAACGTGTTTTCAATTTTACATTTATTCCAAAAGCATGAGTATTCTGATGTTAAAATGTAATCTATAAACAGTGCAGTGAATCAGACATATAATGCACGCTATTAGTTGATACTCTCTGTTACCAATCGCATAACTTTATACTTGTTGTAATTGTAAGCAAATCTCACAAGCCCGACCAAGGTGGTCTGCACACAGAACCATAGCCAAGCTGTGTGTTCAGACACCCCACTCAGCTGACAAGCTACATAATCTAAAATGCTCAGATCTGCTCTGGTCTTCACTAACCCACTATAAGCACACACAGAGCATACAAAAAATACAGAAAAAGGGCTGCGCTTAAATAATAAATATATAAAAGTCCAGATGAAATAAATAAATAAATAAATAAATAAAACAGAAGAGGTCTTATCTTGCAATGTCCGTAGTGCTTAGTCAGAGATAATAATCTTGCTTTCTGTCTTGCTTTCTGTCTTTCTTGTGGATCGTCTCTTATGTAAGATATAAAAACAAATACAAAACCACAATGGTGCAGTATATCTATATGTATAGGGAATAAAATATAAAGGCTTGATTGCGAACTCACATATCCAAGAACTAGGACCTGCTCTGGTATAGAAGGCGTACAGCGGTTTAGATCCCCGCTTATGGGATATAGGATGGTTTTCCTCCACGTGTTTCCTCCTTCCGTGGTGTAAAAGATGCTCAAATAAAAAGAGACAGCCAATAGTGTTCTCTGCGTAAAATTAAAATCCAATATAAAATAAAATAAAAAATGGATACTCACAAGACAGGAGCAGGTCAACTGCTCCTGGTATTTCGCACTGGTGGAATAATCCCCACCTAGGATTGCTTGGAGTCCAGCGAATGATGCCAGGTAATAATAATAATTATATGTGTATGAGAAGATAAGTAGTACAATAAAAGATTATAAAATATACTTTAATTGTAACATTACACAATATAAAAAACCATAAACGCGTTTCGCCAATCGGCGTTATCAATATGGGTAAAGGACCTGATACCTGGCAAAAGATCATTTAAATAGCATACTCAATTAACTCAAAAATTGGCGCCAAAATTTGGACAGCCAATCAGATTGCAATAAAAAATTACATACAATATAGCAATAATAAAACATAAACAATAATATGCATAGAGATAAAACAAAAAAAGACATTATAAATTATGTAATTTAACTTTAAAAATGATCAATGGTTATTGAAAGAAAACTCTGAGATGCACGGTCACATGACCGGCATCGCAACCGCAAGGGGTTATGGGGTGTGTAGTTCGACGCCGGCCGGCACTGCGCAGCCGCCGGCGTCATGAGGGGGAACTGGTAGCTGGCGTCTGTTCGCATAACGGATGCGTCCAGACGCCAGTAGGCGGAACGAGGGGCGGGTGTACTGATGACGGCGGCACGCACAAGACAGTGGCCGCCGTCATCAGGAAAAAGGTAGACGACGGCTCACACAACGCTGTGGCCGTCGTCATGGAGATGAGGCATAACAAGATCGGCAGACTATGGCCGAATGGAGGAGGGGGGAAAAGGAACAAATAGCATAAAAAAACGGATATAAGTGAAATAAAATAAAATAAAATAAATGGAGCTAATTATTAAAAGAAAAATGAAAAAATGAAATAAAATAAAAACAGGATTGTGTGAGAAACAGGCAGGTAAAAAACAACATCATACCTGGTCTGCTGAATAATAAGAGTAGGCATGGTGAGAGAACAGAACAATAAAATACAATAATAGATAATATAAAAACATATGATTATAAAAAATATGATTATAAAAATGATTAAAAAAAGATAGCTTTGAAAGAACTCCAAAATGATGAAAACATTGTCATCAAACCAGCGGATAAAGGTGGAGGAATAGTTATCCAATCAACTCATATGTACATAAATGAGGCCCTTAGACAATTAAATGACGTTAATGTATATGAAAAACTCACAGCAGACCCTATAAAACAAATCCAAAATGTTTTTATCGAATTTTTAAATAAAGGTGTAGAGCAAGGTATTTTAAACAAACATGAATTTAACTTTTTAAATAACCAACACCCCATAACACCTGTAATTTACTTCCTCCCGAAAATCCATAAAAGTGAAACCCTCCCCCCTGGAAGACCTATCGTATCAGGCATAGGTTCCCTTTTATGTAATCTTTCGCAATATATAGATATCCTTTTACAACACTCAGTCAAACTCATGAGATCATACCTTCAAGATTCCATGGCTCTTTTAAATTTTTTAAATAATTTTACATGGAAATCTAGTTTTATATTGGTGACATGCGATGTTCAGTCACTATATACGATCATACCTCATGATATAGGCTGTCAAGCTGTAAAAGATATTTTAACCAAAGAAGGGAAAATTGCCAATCAACAAATAGAGTTCATTTTAGAAGGTATTAATATTATTTTAAACAATAATTACTTTTGGTTTTTAGACTCCTTTTATCTGCAAAAAAGAGGCACTGCCATGGGGACCAGGTTTGCTCCCAGCTATGCAAACTTGTTTATGGCCGACTGGGAGTCACAAGCCATTTTTGGTAATCATGCGTGGAGAGCGAACCTGGTTTCCTTTTTCAGATATATTGATGATCTGTTTTTTATTTGGAATGGTGCTGAAGAAGCTCTAAATTCTTTTATCACTAATCTCAACCTGAATAATAGAGGTATAATACTCACCTGCGAATACAGTAGAGAACAAATCAATTTTTTAGACCTTGATATTTTTATAAAAAATGGTATGGTACATACAAAAACTTTCTTTAAAAAGGTTTGTGTTAATACTGCTATTGACAAAAATAGCTGTCATTACCAACCATGGTTAGACAGCGCCCCTAAAAGTCAAATCCTTAGATTGAGAAGAAATTGTTCAGAACTTATAGACTTTGAGATACAAGCGAATCTTTTAAAAGATAAATTTGTCGAAAAAAACTATTCAAAATCAGAATTAGAAACTACAATTAAGGAGATCCAAGGGAAAGATAGGAATGAACTCCTAAAATACAAACCCAAAACTACGGACACAGAAATGCCCTTACCGATTATTTTTAACTTTAATAATAAAAGTAATAATGTCAAAACAATCATTAAAAAACACTGGCACCTTCTTAAACAAGACGAAATACTAAACAAAATTATACCTCAACGCCCCAATATTATATTTAGGAGTGCCCAAAATTTTAAATCTATTCTGACCAATAATTTTACAAGAGAAAAAACTTTAAAAAAAAATCCCCCTATATCCTTTTTCCCACAAATTAAAGGTTTTTGCAAGTGCAAAATGTGCATTGTGTGTAAATCCACCAATCCTGATGTTCCACCCAAAGTAACGGAATTTACATCAAAAAGGACAAACAAGGTTTACAAAATAAATGATTTTATTAATTGCTCCACGAAAAATGTAATATATCTGCTTGAATGCCCTTGCGGCCTCCAATATGTTGGAATGACCACAAGGTGTCTAAAAATACGTCTGAGCGAACACTGCAGAAATATCAAGAATGGATACCTAAATCACTCAGTATCCAAACATTTTATTATACATAATAAAGATCCTAAAATGCTTAAATGCATTGCTATAGGGAAATGTATGGTTCCATGGAGGGGTGGAAATATTAAAAATATTCTAGGCAAAAAAGAGATGGAGTGGGTTTATACACTCCAAACTCTTGCACCTTATGGTCTGAATGTTGATTTTGATTTATTTAATTTTTTATAATCCAATTTTTTATAATCATATTTTTTATAATCATATGTTTTTATATTATCTATTATTGTATTTTATTGTTCTGTTCTCTCACCATGCCTACTCTTATTATTCAGCAGAACAGGTATGATGTTGTTTTTTACCTGCCTGTTTCTCACACAATCCTGTTTTTATTTTATTTCATTTTTTCATTTTTCTTTTAATAATTAGCTCCATTTATTTTATTTTATTTTATTTCACTTATATCCGTTTTTTTATGCTATTTGTTCCTTTTCCCCCCTCCTCCATTCGGCCATAGTCTGCCGATCTTGTTATGCCTCATCTCCATGACGACGGCCACAGCGTTGTGTGAGCCGTCGTCTACCTTTTTCCTGATGACGGCGGCCACTGTCTTGTGCGTGCCGCCGTCATCAGTACACCCGCCCCTCGTTCCGCCTACTGGCGTCTGGACGCATCCGTTATGCGAACAGACGCCAGCTACCAGTTCCCCCTCATGACGCCGGCGGCTGCGCAGTGCCGGCCGGCGTCGAACTACACACCCCATAACCCCTTGCGGTTGCGATGCCGGTCATGTGACCGTGCATCTCAGAGTTTTCTTTCAATAACCATTGATCATTTTTAAAGTTAAATTACATAATTTATAATGTCTTTTTTTGTTTTATCTCTATGCATATTATTGTTTATGTTTTATTATTGCTATATTGTATGTAATTTTTTATTGCAATCTGATTGGCTGTCCAAATTTTGGCGCCAATTTTTGAGTTAATTGAGTATGCTATTTAAATGATCTTTTGCCAGGTATCAGGTCCTTTACCCATATTGATAACGCCGATTGGCGAAACGCGTTTATGGTTTTTTATATTGTGTAATGTTACAATTAAAGTATATTTTATAATCTTTTATTGTACTACTTATCTTCTCATACACATATAATTATTATTATTACCTGGCATCATTCGCTGGACTCCAAGCAATCCTAGGTGGGGATTATTCCACCAGTGCGAAATACCAGGAGCAGTTGACCTGCTCCTGTCTTGTGAGTATCCATTTTTTATTTTATTTTATATTGGATTTTAATTTTACGCAGAGAACACTATAGGCTGTCTCTTTTTATTTGAGCATCTTTTACACCACGGAAGGAGGAAACACGTGGAGGAAAACCATCCTATATCCCATAAGCGGGGA